TCTCCCTCAGGCTTCCAGCAGGCCCTCTACCCACAGGTTCCCTTCTCCTTTGGTGCAGGAGTCTATGGTCATCGAGACTAAAATGCTGGCATTTGGGAGTTGGTTTTACTCCATTTGTTAACACCTGAAGGAAGAGTCTCAGAGCAGTATCTTCCGAGTAGGGAGAGAGGGCTCTCAGCTTCTCTACTGTGGTGGGAGGTCGTTGTGCTCTATCGGCAAAAGCCCTGGACACGAAATTCTCAAGAAATCTGACTTCAAATTTTGATTCTGCCCCTACTGGCTGTGTGACCTTGAGGAAGTCACTTAACCTCTCTGATCCTCACTTTCCTCGTCTGTAAAATGGGGCTAACATCACCTATCCCACAGGGATATCCTGAACATTAACGCTTACAAAGACATCTAGAACATAGAGATAATCAATAACTCAATTCAACAAACCATGAGCCAGGCTCTGGACTAGGTGCTGGGGACACAAAGATAAATGCAATATTAGTCGCCTTCAAATTGTTCAGTGTAGAAATGCTGTTAACAGGAATTCATTTTCTTCCTTCTCTACTTTAGCCTTCTTTTAGGATGGCAATAGGAGTTTCATGACTTTTATTCTTTGCCTTGATAAACTTTCACCTCCGCACTCTCAAGAGAGATCTTGCTGATAGGGGGGCAGCTATGTTTACATCCCTCATTCTCAAACAGGGGAGGTGGGGTGGTTACTTAAATGCTATGGTGAAAGTATCCCTTTTACGCTTTCAAGTTATTATCAACACTTATCCTTAACTCTTCCAGGCCTTACTTAAAGGTGTTTCCATGGTGAAAAGTATCCTTATTCAGCACTTTAAAATGAGTATGGAAAACTCTCATTCCTTCTCATTCCATGTATCCCTAGCCTGTCTGGATTTACATTCCAGTTGAAAAGACTGGTCACAAAGGATCAGTTCCCAGTTAAGCTACCTTAGTGACCAATGTCTGGCTCACCTCCTGATTTGGGGTTCACATTCTATGCTAAAAACAAAAGCACTTTGCAGAAAAAAAAATACTAGCTCAGTTTTTAAAGAGAAGCTGACACAAAGTAACCAGGGGAGAAAAATATAAGAGATAGTTTCTAAATCAAAATGTTATAACATGAAACCTATCCTTTCCTTGGTGGAGCAATTCTACAAGTCACAGAAAAATATTTCTCATTTTAGAATAGATTGGAAAAGAGACTCTGCCAAGAGCCAGTTGTTTAAATTTTCAATTTGAATTTTAAGCAGGATTATACATGACCAAGAACATCATGCTATTTTAGCTAAATAGGTGGGATTGCTGTGTCCCCAACAGTTTGGAGCAATCAGGAGTGAAACCACGAAACAGCATCTCTCACTGTGGTACCTTATCATTTAGCACTCCTATTTCTATTTTAATATTTTCCAAAGCTTCATCATACAAATATTTGCAAAGTACCCGTGCTAGGTACAATACAAAGTTTAAATAGACACAGTTGCTATCTTCATTATGGGTTCAACCCATTAAGCAAACCAGATATATGAAAGAATCTTAGAGCTGCCATCTAGCCCCTAAGTGCCCAGGGGAGATACATTAGGAAGCAATTGTCCTACACCTATCACCCTTCCAATATTGTACCCTCTCTATTTATTAAAAAGAGAGGGGTAATGAAAATGTTCTAAAATTGACTGTGATGATGGATGCACAATTCTGTGAACACACTAAAAGCCACTGAATTGTACACCTAAATGGGTGCATTATATGGTATATGAATCATATCTCAATTAAGCCTTTTTAAAAAAGGAGAAAAATTGTTCTTATTCTGTTCTAATTAGCCAAAGCTATTTTTTTTAAGCTCTCACACCAAAGGATATCTAGCTAAAGGCTGCACTGGATTGGCAATGGTGCCTCAAGGGCCACCATGGAGATCACTCCAATCTTCCCCTGCAGTTATATCTTTCTTTCCCTCACTCTCTTTCCCTAGTCTCTCTTCTATTATTTCCCCAGTTCCTTTCCTCTTGTTCCTCCACTCCAACTAGATCTCAGGTCTCTCAGGCATTCCCAAGCATGGTTTGTCCCAACTGGTGGACTTCAGGATTCAACTGATTGCTGAACCGCAGCAACTTTCCCTTCATGACCTTAGGCAAATCATGTCCTTGCTCTCCTGTTGCTGTTCTGGTTTGCACAATGAGGGGTTGAACTAAGTGATCCTTTCCAGCTCCCACATTCCATGTTAAAAAAAACAAAAATAATGAACACCTACTTGGCCAATAACATGCAAAGTCTCCGCCATTTTAGCCAACAGACATATATTTGGATTATTCATTTTGTAAATGCCTATGTGATGCAATCTTCCAAAGAACAGTATTTAACATAATTATAAAAAGACCAACATGGAGTCTTTATTTTTAAAAACCATCACTTTATCAAAGAAAATTCAGAGCCCAACACAGAATGCTTTAATAGTCCCTTTGGACCTGTCTCCAAGGGTCAATTTTCAAATGAAAAAAAAAAAGTTTTTGCACGTTGGGGCCCTGTTGGATTTATCAAACCAAAGAAAGAAATGAGATTGGGGTGGCAGAGCCTTAACAACAGTGGTTCAACTAAATCCTAAGAGAAGAAAGGCTTTGTTTGGCAAATGGTAGAGAAACCCTAAGACAGCACCTCAACAAACATCATAAACAGAGATGCTCAGAGAGCAATGAACACTGCAGGAATCCCTTTACCGTGGACATCTTGCAGCTTTTTATGCAAACCAATTACATTCTCCCAACAAAACTCATAGAAATATGTAGTCACCAGTTTCCAACATACTACCACCAGACAAACTCACACTATTGTTTCCATGTGCCCAACATCAGAGAGCAAAACTGAAAGAAATACATCAATTTCTCCTACACACACACAAATATGCAAGAGAAACCATTTTCTTTGCAGAACCTATGTTGTCTAAGTTGTGGCCATAAAACGGATAAATATTGGTTGCTAATAAAAATCAGATGGTTAGCTCTACACTGAAAAGCAAAAAGCACACGCAGGCATCATAAAAACAGTAACCCTAATGTGTGTTTCTTGTCATTAAGCTGGACACCAAACATAGTGAGAAATGACTCCAAGTGTCTGTTTGCATCCCTCTTTCCCATGACCTCAGACCAACAAGCTCTCCCGTTTGTCACCTCCTTACACTTGTCCCCATCAAAAGAGCCTAGTGCAGAAGAAGGTGGCAAGCCCCTCTCTTCTTGGCTGGAGGCGCTGAACAAGAGTTTTGGGGGGAGGGCGGAAAGGACAAAGGTAGGCGCTTTCTGCCTCTCACAGCTTTGCAGCAGGGATCCCAGCTTCTCCCCATTCTCATCACGGAACCAGGGCACCTGCCCGGGAGAGGGCCTTTCCGCCACCTGAGTAACCAGCCAGCAGGGCCTAAGTGTCCAAGGAGCCCAGGCGCTGCAGCCCTCGGGGACAAAGGCTGGCCTCACAAAGAGGAGGTGGACGCGAAAGTAGTCGGCAACCGTCGGAAAACTCTTGCAAACAAAAGCGGTGCTGGGGGGGCTGATACCGCACCTTGGGGGTACTCAGAGGTCGCTAGGTTCGGGGGATTCAGGCGTGGGGGTGGAGGGGAAGACGTCGAAAATTCCTTCCAGGACTGGGATTAGGGAGCTGCTGGGAGCGCAGCCGCCAGCAGGAAGGAGGCTGAGGGGCGGGCGGAGGCCCGGGGCGAGGAGGGGCAGAGTTCGTGAATGGGGAGAAGTGACGGCAAGAAGGTGAAGGCCCGACGGAGCCCGCGGCGGGAGGGCTCAGCCCTGCGCGGTGTTCCGGAGGGGCCCTCAAGGAGGGGCTGAGAAGCCGCGCGCCGCCCGGGGCTGGGGACACGCGGCCGAGGGATTCCGGGGAGAGCGCAGAGTTGGGGGCACAGTGGGGGAAAAGAGAGAGTATGAGAACAGAACCGTAGAGAGGCTAGGGGGAACTATGAGGGGGCCTGACCCCCGTCCGCCCCACCTCACCTGGCGCCGGGTCGGAGTCCACGATCTAGGGCTGAGAAAGCGCCAGCTCCCGCCGGCCTCTCCGTCCCGCGCGGGAGACCACGGACACAAAG